TCAGTCAAAACTGGAAATGAATGGAGAAGAAAATGCTGAAGTGTATTTACAGATGGGGATTATCTGGTGTGGAATCAGAGATCTCAATGAAGGGTGTAAGAACAGAGTATAATTCAATTGAGAAGGAGAAAAGAAGCTAAAAAGCAGGAGAAATTGCATGATGCTTTCCTTGCACAAGCTATACTTGTTACGGTATACCTCATGGCTAAGGTGCAAATGCAAATCCCATCAAAAAAACTCAGAACAGCAAGCCCACGACAAGAAGCACGGTTCACAGCAAAACTAACTCAAAGAGATTCTGAATTGACCTGTAATTGTATCTCTTTTTTGTCACACATTTCAATGCTGTCATCCTTAATAATTAAAAGCATTAGGTGCTCACAAAACCCCCTCTTAAGAACCATGCAAAGCAAGGAAAGTAACTGAGCAATCTGACAGCCTGATCCCGTACAGGGATTTCTACAGACACCAGTTAACTCCAGTTCTTTCGGTGGCCTTCAGCACTGAAGAGTTTGCTGGAAAGCAGCGACCAGAAGGCAAGCAGACTGGTGTGAACCATGGAATCTCAAAAAGCTCATTTCTCTCCCATGCACAGTGCATGCCAAATCTTAAAATTCCTGCAGCATCCAGTTATGAAACTACAATAGAAGAGAAAAACAGATGGCTAAAGCCTTTTGGAAAAAAAAGATTAAGCATTACTTCATTTCCAAAAGAGAAAGATGTATATTTGAAAAAACAGAACCTACTTCAGACCATACCTAATTGATACAAAAATAGGCAGATTGCCCTATGGAAATGAAGCCTGTCTTCAGTTAAGGCAGCATACAAGAAAAGTTTAACCCTTTTAGAACATCATGGCTTACTGTATTTTTAAGCAGAATTTAAAAGCAAAGCAGTTCCTATGAGATGACAGGTATCACAAACATTGTAAAAAAATAACATATTTCTTTATCGCTAAAGCAACTGCTGAATGGCAAATCCTGTAGAAAAGCCTTCTTATGCTTACTCTTCTCCAGCGTTTTTAAGCAGTTAGCACCTACATTCAGGTGAGTCGCCTTCTCGCTCCTAAAAACATCTAATGGACACCATATTAGGAACTTGGCAACCTCAACTCTGTAAGCGTTAGGCCATTCTCTATGGAAACCAGTCAGTAGCACACTTGAAGCTCCTGTTGGGTCCCTGATTTGTGAGATATCACACAAAAATCAGGAAACATAAAAGCCATCCTAGAGAACTCATGTTTTCAGCATTAGGTGCTTCAGCAGCTCTGTCAAACAGCTATCACAGCTTCAGGTCTGAGTACTGGAACTGATCTCTGGTCCAAAAGAGCATTTTCCTCCTGTGAGGCTCCTCTGCTGAGCCTGTGCCTCAGACAAGCCTTGACTCAGTCGCCTGAACAGAGGCCTCCAACAGCTGAGAAGCCCCAGGGTACACAAGAGATGCATGCCGGGCTGGCAGGCTTGACACAGGATCAACAGGAGACCTGGGCTTCTCCAAACTGGCAGGAAACGCAAAGGCATCTCAAACAGCGCTAGACACCAGCATTCAGGCAACTGAACTGGGTCCCCTGCGTGAGTCACAGCATTACACCTGCCAGCAATGCCCAGCGCGCTCCTATCCCACACAGCAACAGTCTGCTCTGACAGCACAGAGCAGCAAACACAACTGGTTTTGTAGAAGCCTAAGCAAAACACATGCGACTGATTTCTGGTTTTATTCAATGGCTCTGCACTGAGGAGAAGGACTAAATTAACTCTCTCCTATCATGCATAGTCCTTCCAGGCCAGCACTGCAGCTCACTGGCGAGGCTGGGTGGAAAATCCTGCACTGCCCCAGCTTATTCCAAGGGTAAGTGGAAGATGACACACTCCAGCACTGCCAAGCAAGAGCCTTTCAAAAAAAAAAAAAAATGCTTATATGATTAATGCAAAGCATGACGTTTTTACAGTAGCAGGAGTCACTAATCCATATTAAAGATCAAGACTACATTTATTTATTTATTTTTAATGAGAGGCTCTAAATGAACCGACTGCTCAATTTTTCAAAGGTATTGAGCAGCCACAATAATTAGGTCTGGGTCAGCAGGAGCAGCCAGAATGCCACAGAAGCAACTCAGTCCTGTTAATTACCTGAAAATAAGTTGTTTCTAATGAAACAGTGACAATACTGGACACTCCATCACAACCTGTCCCCCCCAAAATGCACCACCAATGAAAAGCAATCATCTGAGAGTGGCTGTCTTCAATGATTAAATAGGGACAAGAATCAGAAATTATAGAGAACAGAAAAAGCAAGGAAGGGGACTTTCAGCCTACGCTGGACAAATGCTGCTGTACCTAGAGCTAATCCTTTTAAAGGGTGAAGCAGCAACACCAGAGCGGCAGTGACTTCCCACACAGCCAGCATAACTCCAGAAGAGAAGAGCAGGAGCTATTTTGAACACTAGGTTAAAAAAAAATTCAGATCAATACAAGTCCAGAAGAGACGAAAAAGTATTAAAGCCAACCAGAAATACACCCAACATAGAAAACTGCACACGACCAGTTACAAAAATTTTCTAAAACACAACTCATTTTCTGAAGAGCTAGACAAACATAAACCTAACAGAAAATAGCAGTTCATAGACAGGCACCCTGTTTTGGTCATGCACAATCCTTGCTCACAGACACATCTCAGTTCAAGTGTGTTCATGACTGCATTGTCATTTATTTTAAAATATGAATGGAGCATTATTTTCCTCCAGAAACACTGCATTGTTAAAATGCCAGTACATTAAAATAACTTACTGCTTACTACATTTCGATCAAACAATCTACAGACTACAGCACTTGACACTTAATATATATTGAGTGCTTTCAGCAAGAACAGCATATGGAGTTCATTTCTTCTGTTTTGTTCTCACATGGGCCAATCTCAGAGTCAAGCTTCAGAAATAGAGGAAGCAGTGATTCTGTCAGCACATGCAAAACCGTTATCTTCTCCAAAGTTAAGGAAAGACTTAGTTGAGGGTTCTCAAAATTTATAAATATTTATCTTTTTGTTTCATATAGGAGTTGCACTTATGGCAGAAATATCGTATTTTAGCTTGCATGCTTATAGAGCATTTTTGTTAAGGTTCTCCAAAAAAGAGGAAACAGAATAGAAAAGCCTATAATCAAATGACTGCGTGAGTGATATTTTTTCCCTATTGTTATTTTTCCTAGAATTCATCCACATTTCACCACCATACTGTTGCTTCGTCATAACAAACACAAGCACTGATCTTGCCTATATTTAAATTCAAGAACGTAAAATGAAGGTTCAGTAAGACAATCTATTTTTAAAAAATTAGTGGCGTATCTGGGGTTTTGAAATGCCTTTTCATTACTTCACACACAGGCATTTTGCTAGGTGGGCACTCTAGTTTATGATCAAACAATAAGCTAATTGTTTCTAAAATAACAAGATTATTCACAAGAGAACTTTTGTGTGTGACTTTGTCTTAAATCAAGTGAAAGTTAGCTGCAGATCCAATCTGAACATTCCCCTGCAGCATTCATACTTTAGTGCTGAAGCATTCTGCAAATTCTCAAGGAGCAAATCAAAGTGAAAATGAAAGCCAAACCGGCTAGTTTATGCAAACAAAACATAAAAAGTAATAAACACAACTGCTGAAACAAACCTGATAAACCAAAATTGCTGTGGCAAACTCTTTGCCCTGAACTAGACAGTGGATCCCATGAGATAATCACGACAGCCTCTTTCAACTTTTAAAATGTTTTTATTTGTAGTTTATTCTGTGAAAGCAAGTTCAACTTCCAAAACGATTTTGTTTCTTAATAATCTTTCAAAACATTTTAGGCAAGAAGATAACTTGTTAAAAAAAAAATTAAACTTGACAGTGTTCCTTTAAGACAGAGCAGCAAGCAGCCTTCCAGCATATTTGACAGAGATTTCCAACTCCAAGAGATAGAATTTAAATTTGTCGAGGCAATTACTCATAACCAGTGAAAGCAGCCAATGCAAGTGCCAAACTTGCCAACAAGAAGAAAGGCCAAGTATTAGAAAGGAGGCTGCAGTTTATTACAAGGCAATTTGAACATCTCAGTCCACGAGGTCTGGAAAGTACTGTCTTTGTCCCCTGACATTACAGGCTCGCACTAATGCAAGGAGTTATGTCAGTAACGTCAATATTCCAAACATACAAAACAGCACTTAAGTATTTGTATAAAGGACATCTTTGCCTGACTATTTAAAAGCTGCTTCTGTCTTCCCTAGCAGACTTATTTAAGCTTATTTTGCACAGGAAGGAAGATGCACCAGACCCATACCATTAACTGTTAACTGCTGTCTAAGCTCCAAAGCCATCCAACTGGACCACGACCACACAAAATTCTTGTCTGACTAAAGAAATACCTTAAGACAATTCCCAAAGATCTGTCTCTTGCCTCTTCCCATTAAAAGATGGAAAGGAACAAGGAAAAGAAGGAGAAACAAGACATCTTCAGGTAAAAAAGTCAAAATCGAAATGGGTATCCACCTCACATTAAAACACCACCATCTTCAGGACTGATCTCAAATGCCTCAGCCAGCTAACAACAGTGTCAGCAGATAACACTCAGCACGAAGAGTTGAGTTGGAAGTTGGAAAACAGCTCTTGGGAAATATTTAAGAAAAAAAAAAAAAACAACCGAAAACCAACAACCAAAACCACACCACTAAGTGACCAATGCAGAGCTAATAAATGCACCGTCCTCTGCCTGATAACAACAATGCCATCTAAGAAAATCAGAGTACAGAACAAAACCAACAGGTCCAAGATAAGTATGCAGCAAAGCAAGCACTCATCAAGACAAACAAGCACCCCATGCAGCTGCTTCTGCAATGGGCATGCAAGAAAAAGCGAGGGGAGGCAAGACCAATGCACACACACCAAACAATACAAAATGAGCAACATCGTTCCTATTGCAGCACCAGCAACTTACTCCACCATTTGTGCAGCAACAGGAGCCACTTCTTACCATTTTTTGGTGCACTCGACCATCAATTCCTGGTAAGAGGCCACGAACTGGAACTTGGATGCATGTTTCCCAACACGCTGCAGTCTCTTCCAAACTGAAGCCATGATGGTGAGAAATACCCGTCCTCTTACACAGTAGCAACTCTGCAAACACCAATGTAGGTTTAAGAGTATGTGGGCTTAGTACTAGCAGATTTATATATAGACACCATAAAAACAGTGCACGAGGAACTTGATGGGATGTCTACAATTCATATTCTGCCTCTCCCTTCTTCACGGTAAATCCCAGTCTAGCTGAATGGCTCATCACTGGCCAGGAGCAGCATGCAATAGGAACAGACAGGTAATTGAAAGGAAGTTCTCTCATGGAATCATCATTCCTCACACAGTAGAGGATGTGGAGACTGCAGGACTGAAAGACAAGACAGGGGGAGAAAGCATTGGTTAATATACTACATACTACAGTGCTGCAATTGCACGTGATCTCGTACCTTCCAAACAACTACAATAAACCACAAAAACATACCCCCTTCCTGTTGTCATCCCCCCCTCCAATTAAATAAATAAATAAGAATGCTGCAGCAATTTCAGGAATGCAAACCACGAGTCTATTTGGAAACATATCAACATGTCCTTTTATCAGCACCATCACAATTGGCAACAACAACAAAAAAGGGCAGGTCAGGGCCACACCGAATCCTTATGAAGCATCTCCGGGAAGCAATACAAAGTGGCTGTGGTACTGCCAATATGCACCCAGAGGGAGGGACACAGGGAGATGAAGACAAGTTCTTTGTCTTGATGACAAAAGGTGTAACAGTTCTTTCCTCTCTCACACACCTCCCGCTCCCATTTCTCTTTCCAAGGAGAAGGAACAGCCAAGAAGCCGGCAAGGGAGCGTTACTACTTAAATGCCTGTGCCAGGGTGAGGAGGAGAATGAAAGAGGAAGGGCATTTCCTGAGCCCTGGCTGCCCAGGATTCCCCATCTTCCTCACCGCATCATATTGAAATGGAAATGCCTCTCCATCCTGAACTGAGAAACGCTCATCAGGGAGGTGAAAAGGCGGACGAGAAACCCAGATCGGTCTTCTCCCTCCACATGAAAGCAGCATCTCTGCTGGCTGCGGAGGAAAAAGCCTCTTCATTAGGAATATGGTGAAGCAAAAGGTGGCCGCACCTGGCGAGAAGGCAGGGTAGGATGGCATCAAAGGAGGCAAGGAGGCAACCTGGAGTCCAGGAACGTCCCCGCGAAGGGGGCCGTCCCCACCAGCCCCGGGGAGAGGAGCGCCCCGCTCCGCCTCACCAGCCCCTGTCACCTCAG